TTAGAAAATTATGGGGGCCCCATGTGCATTCAGCTGACTACATTAAAGGTAAGTGCTCAGTCACACTATCCATTCCTCATTATTTATTACTTTCACTGTACTGTATCCATTCCTCATTATTTAATACTTTTACTGTACTGTATTTCATTGTAAATTTTTTATTAAAAAAAAAATGAAAAAAAAAAATTTTGATTTTTTTTACCGTATATCACGGCCTATAAGACGAAATTTGAACATTAAAAAAATCTGCCCAAAGTTAGGGGGTCGTCTAAACCACCAAGTTTAAAATTCTTACCTCTTAAATATTGTGGTTTAGTGTGTCAAGAGTGGTGATGAAAACATCGTAAGCCACTCACAAGGTCTTACCACTAATTATTTTATACTGAAACTTACGTTTGGCAAGCTGGATTCAAATTAAGATTACCGGTATATTAAAATAATAAAAATGTATTATAAACCTGTCTAACATACCGTAAAAGAGATTTATACCCCTATAATAAACACAGCTATCATCACACACCCCTCCCCACGCCCCCCCCCCCATTTGCCAGTGAGGAGCCGTGGAGGTGGTCAGTAATGCATACCGGTATCGGTATATTTACTCATAATAATATTTATCTCCTATAAATAATTGATTTAAATTATATTTTTTTCCAAAGAATATTCAGTAAATGAGTGCATTAATTCTTGAAACTATCGACGGTTAATTACAGACGCTCAAGTGACGTCACTAGTGTTTACACTACACCAGCTGGTAATATTTGATGCCATTACTTGAAGTGAATTGGCCTTATTTTAAGTAACTAACTATAAATAAATACAAAAATTAAAAAAAAAAGATCAAAACTGAGAAATAATATACTGTATGTATGTTGTGTTGTCAAAGTAAGAGGAACAATTGTGTAAGTACGTAATATTTTTTCACTCAAATCCTAATGAAACACTACTGGAGAACATTCCTTTGTCGCAAAACAGTTTATAAATTAAAGAAAATAATTACAGTGTGTTTAATATATTACAGTATATTATAAATAAATAAATAAAACAAATAATTCGGTAAATCTATTTAAAGTAAATGGAAAATAAGCAAACATGTTATTTACCAAGACGCTTCCGTCTGGCTCAGGGTGAGATGGAGGGGAGATAACAAGGCTATTTATAGCCCATCTGAAGTGGCCAGTACCCTAATGCACCATAAATAATTCATTGAACATTCATTTTTTGTACATAGTATATTCAGTATATATATATATATATATATATATATATATATATATATATATATATATATATATATATATATATATATATATATATATATATATATATATATATATATATATATATATATATATATATATATATATATATATATATATATATATATATATATATATATATATATATATATATTTGTGTAATAAATGTATGTAGTAAGTACATACTGGTAACCTTTTTCACTCAAATCCTAATGAAACACCACAATTAGAATACGGTGGTTGCTGTTGAATCACATGTTGTATAAATAGTCGGAACACAGCCACACCACCGAGACGAGGGAACACTCCCACCACGCTTCAGTGACGTCACTAGTGTTTACACTACACCAGCGGGTATAATTTGATGACATTACTTGAAGTGAATTGGCCTTATTTTAAAAAATCAAGGATGGTTGGTAAAGGACTACTGAGTCAGTGGGTAAGTGTCACATTTGGGGTACTGGTCTTATACAGCAAATAGAGCTCAAAAGCTACTTTTTAAATGGAAATTTGGGGGGGGCGTCTTATGCACCCCGCCGCCTTATAGGCCGTGATATACGGTATCTGTCGGACTTACGACCTGGCTTTTTTTTTGTCTTATCTGAATTATTATTATTACAGGAGTATTAAATTTTTGCCCCTCAGGCCCCAATGTGGGTCAGTGACCTATGCCCGGGTGGGCTAATCCCCGTAAAAAAACAACAACAACAAAGCCGCGGGAAATTAAGGTTTGTTTACATCCGGCAGTTTGGCTGCTCTTTCTCTCTCTCTCTGCTTGTCTATACGGAATACAACATTTAACCTTTCAATATATATGAGCAGTAAATAAGTGTTGCTTTCATATTCTTATGTAGAGTAATGACGATATGTTTTCACATGTGCGCACTTACATACGCGCAGTCTCACTTTTTTTTTTACCATTAATGGTTAGCTACTTATATTGTTCCATTTATTAACATTAAATAACATTACAGGTACTTCAAACAACCATATTAATTTTTTTACATTAATTTTACTACAGCTACAATCAGGGTCTTATTTTCTTCAGTTTTATATGTAGAACCAATCAGTCACTGGTTTTGTAAGCTTTAACAAAAACAATGCCGGCAGCCGTCTCGTCTCCTCGTGTGTTTTAATATTCCACGTACAGTCGACCCTCGTTAATTCGGACCCCTTTAATCCGGATTTCGGATAAATCGGAGGAAATCTGAACTGTCCATATCAAATTTCTGGTTCTGGGATTGTCCCAGTTGCAATTGGGGTTGCAATTTCAAATTCTGTGTCTTTTCTAAGGAATAACAAAGTCTGGTGCACTCTTAAGATTAAGAGAAAACGGACGACTCAGGCGTCCTGAAGTGAGAGAAAACGGACTCCTATGACAGGGCACTCAAATAAAGAGACATGGCTACATGTTTTGTGGACTCCCACTGTACAGTATCATTTTCATCACTTTGTAATAAACCTGGTCATGCCTATGTGTGTTTCTGATAATTACCATAACATTATATATTTATATATTTAGCGGTTGAACAAACACAAGGCCTCACACATGCCACTCAGACTGACAGATTTGACAAGTTTTACCAACCATAAAGACAGTTGAAGCTTTAAACATCACTCACAATGGATCTTGAATATTCCAACTGTAATCAGACATAACTAAGTTGCCTCAACAATTGCAACATCAAATTCTGTCACTGCTAATGAATAACAAAGTCACTGGTGCACTCTAAGATTAAGAGAAAACGGACAACTCAGGCGTCCTGAAGTGAGAGAAAACGGACTCATATGACGGGGCACTCAAATAAATATACACATAGCTGTATAATGCAATATTATGCAATATTAACCCTTAAATCGGTTAATTCGGACAATTGGCTAAAACGGACACCCTTCCCCTCCTATTAGTCCGTTTTAACGAGGGTCGACTGTATTATTAATAAATTGTATTGTTAATTTTGCACACACAAACATTAATTCAATAAAAACAAATTCAGAAACATTAATTAAAATATATATGAACAGTAAATATGTGTTGCTTTCATATTCTTATGTAAAGTAATGACGATATGTTTTCACGTGTGCGCACTTACATACGCGATCTCACTTTTTTTCTTTACCATTATCGTTAGCTACTTCTATTGTTCCATTTATTAACATTAAATAACATTACTTAAAACAACCATATTAATTTTACTACAGCTACAACCAGGGTCTTATTTTCTTCAGTTTTATATGTAGAACCAGTCAGTCACTGGTTTTGTAATCAACGAAAACAATGCGGTCTCATTTCCTCGTGTTTTAATATTCTACGTATTATTAATGAATTGTATTGCTTATTTTGCACACACAATCATTAATTCATTCAAAAAGACTTTCAGTAATAAACAATAATGAATCTTTTGTACACAAGAGAAATGACGCTGTTTACACGATTGTGCACGTCGTCTGCACGTTGGCGGGCCGTTCAAACCCGTCGAAATTGAGTTTCCGCCGTCAAATTTTTTTAATGTGTTGTTTTTTTTTTGTGTGTTCAAATAGAAAACGTTGAATTAAAAACTTGCGAAATTTGAGAAGCTACTGTACGACATTTAACCCTTCAATATGTCTTCAAAGAGACCATGATGCAGAGAAAGTGGTGCTAGTGCTTCCAGGCATAAGCACAAGTCACTATCTATCCAGGAAAAGGGTGAATTTCCATGGTCCGAAAATTTCCATGGTTCGGCACCGGTCAGGTCCCGAGGTTGCCGGACTAGAGAGGCACAACCTGTAATAATAATAATAATCATAATAATAATAACAACAATAGTAAATAAATCAATAAAAATATTATAATAATAATAATGATAATGATAATAATAAAGGACCATAAATGAAGAAAAAAAAAGATAAATAGTGAGGAACGATATATGTATGTTGTGTTGTCAAGTAAGTGAAACAATTGAGACCCTGCAATTGTGTGTAAATGAGGCAGAAAGTCAGATCAGCAACCTGGGACTTGGTTAAAATTTTTGTGAGGCCATATGGCAGCAGGGTCTACCATTAGACAACACATAATGCTTCCAATATCTTCCCAGGTGGTAGTACCTTCCTGTTTGATAGCTGCCTACTACCTGGAAGCAGTGCATGAGAAATGACTATGGGAGGTGTTTTTTTTTTTTTTGCTGTCTTTTCTGTCTTATCGTATCGTCTTCATCAATGTTCGGCTCTCTAGCCTGTTAAACAGTTGGTCATTTATCTGGTATTCACTGTTGGTAACTACTGTACTGTACTTGGCATGCACCGTCTCTACAATGTTCCAGAGCACATGTCTTGGTCAAGTCAGTCCTTAAAGGAGCTCATACTTGGTGCTGTCACAACACTCTCTGAAGGTATTCCAAGAGTTCATGGCTATTATTCATTTAAAAAAAAAAAAAAAAAAAAAAAAAAAGCTCTGACATGTAACGTGTGTAGTGTTGGAACTAAATGAAAGAGATTATTATAGTACTTGGTGGTGACCTAAATTGGCCTGTTGGTGTACACACTGAGGGTTATGAAGGTGTACATATACATACCCCTCCCCCTGTAGCAGAAAAGGGCCAAATGTCTCTGGTACAAAGAATGTTGAAGGAGAAAAGATACAGTACTTGAGTTTAGGGATGTATTAATCATGTTTGTATGCAACATTTTATTTAAGAATTTTAGAGTTCCTCTGGCCATTGGTTTCCATGTTAATCAATGTTTACTGTATTGTATTTTCAGAGTTGGAGGACTTTATTGTGGAGGATCCTCACAACTGTTCAGACCTACTGTTCTCCTGGCTCTACTCGGAGTATTCATCAGACCATGATTTTTCTCAGATCAACAACATATTCACCAAAGCTCTAACAGCTGGAAACAAGAAAGAAAAAAGTTACTCTGATATTGTCAACAGTATTGTGTTGAAAGTTTTAGCCAAAGATCCAACCAAGGAGAGAGATGAGTATGTTGAATGTCTCAAAATATGTCTTTAATAAGCCATTTGCTATACTGTATTTTTGTTTTGCATGAAGAACATACCCGTAATTAGGATTGCTTGTACATATTCCTTTTTATTTCTAAGGGATAAATTTTCTAGTCACTGTACAACTTGAATATTTTCACCTTCCCAGTAGCGGCTTTTATAAATCTATGCCTATATCCCTTTTCTTACATACCCCTTGGTTATTTAGATGCTTCTTTTTTTTTTCCTGCAAATATTGACCAAGAGATGCATCCAGAAACTTATCCTAAATTTGTATTCGTAAGAACATAAAAAAATAAGGAGTCTGCAATAGGCT